GGACTGAGGGTTAGTGTCAAGTACGTCTTTTTTTTTTTTTTTTGTAGAGATAGAGTCTCACTCTGTCACCCAGACCAGAGTGCAGTGGCACAATCTCAGCTCATTGCAACCTCTGTCTCAGATTCAAGCAATTCTTGCGCTTCAGCCTTCCAAGTAGCTGGGACTATAGGCGAGCACTACTATGCCCCTCTAATTTTTTGTATTTTTAGTAGAGACGGGGTTTCCCATGTTGCCCGGGCTGGTCTCGAACTCCTGAGCTCAGGCAATCTGCTCACCTCGGCCTCCTAAACTGCTAGGATTATAGGCATGAGCCACTGCACCTGGCCATCATTCTTAAGGGAACATTCACTTGAGTTCCGTAAAACATGGTCAGGAGCAAGAGCTACATCTAAGTTGGAGGATTTTATTTATATATTTATTTATTATTTTCCTTAGAGATAGGGTCTGGTTCTGTCACCCAGGTTGGAGTGCAGTGGCATGATCATAGCTCACTGCAACCTTCGACCCCTGGGCTCAAGTGATCCTCCCACCTTAACCTCCTGAGTAGCTAGGACTACAGGCGTGTGCCATCACACTTGGCTAATTTTAAAATTTTTAGTAAAACTGGGATCTCACTATGCTGCCCAGCCTGGTCTCAAACTCCCGGTCTCAGGCCATCCTCCCACCGTGGCCTCTCAGAACTCTGTGATTACAGGCATGAGCCATCGAGCCTGCTGAACTCGGCACTGATTAAGGCATTTCCGAATCCCATATGGCTCCTCACTGTGAGCAGGCCAGTGATGGACAGGGAGAAAAAGCGTGGAGCAGAGGATTCCAAGCCCCAAGACTGCCAGGCATGGAGGCTGGCACACACGGAGCTCTTGGGCCTAGGAGCTTGAAGCTGCAGTGAGCTACAATCACACCACTGCACTCCAGCCTGAACGGCAGAACGAGACCCCATCTCTTAGATGAATAAATAAATAAAAATCCCAAGACTATGGCCAAGCCTGGGATTAGGGTGTGTGACTTTGACAGTCACCTCTTGGGTTTGGTAGCTTCATGTTTTGCTGTGAGGATTAAATGATATAATGGGCAGAAGCATCTCTTTTTTTTTTCTTTATCATAAACCACTGTACATCTCTAGGGTATTACAATTATATTGCTTTTTTTTTTTGAGATGGAGTTTTGCTCTTCTTGCCCAGGCTCGAGTGCAATGGTGAGATCTCAACTCACTGCAACCTCAGCCTCCCGGGTTCAAGAGATTCTCCTGCCTCAGCTTCACAAGTAGCTGGGAATTACAGGTGCCCCATGCCACCACCATGCCCAGCTAATTTTCTGTATTTTTAGTAGAGACAGGGTTTCACCATGTTGGTCAGGCAAGTCTCAAACTTCTGACCATAGGTGATCCACCTGCCTAGGCCTCCCAAAGTGCTGGGATTACAGGTGTGAGCCACTGCGCCCAGCCATGTACTGTAAATCTTGAAGAACACTAATTAACATAGAGCTTCCATTGGTACAATGCTGAATAACCCAACTCTAATCAAATTACATTCGCAGTCAACCCTCTCAGCTCTGAGCACCTTGATATAAAGTAAACAGCTCAGAGACCGGCACACAACCCTGTGGCTGCCCTCAGTCCACAAATGTCACTGCTGAGCCTGGAGGAAAAGCGTTATCCCCCCTCCCCACCCTTCTTCCCTCCTTTCTTCCCTACCCACTCCCTTCCTTCCTCCTTCCGTTCCTTCCCACCTTCCTTCCTAATAATTATGATCTAAAAAGTTACTAGTATTTAGAAGAGGCCAAAAGAGCTGTACATTCTTCCTCTCTTTCTTTTCTGAAGCCAGAGGCCTGCAACGAAGTCCAAGTTTCCTGAGGGCTGACGTAGCATGAGTCACTCTGAGCGCAGGGTATAAGAACATCAGTCACTGGCCCCACATCGGTGTGCTAAAGTCCCCTAATCACCAGGGGCCAATTTCACAATCTTACTTCTGAGAAGAGAAAGGAATTCAATTGCTACGTCCTTGCCTTCCCTCCCACTCTCTTTTTTTTTCTTTCTTCTTTAAAATAACGTGCCACCCTCCATTGGTTAATGCTTTAGATAAGAGACCACGCCCTTGTAATCATAAATCCTGAAAGGTGTTTTTACATGTTTGAAGTCCTTTCCCAGAAAAAGATGTTTTTTTCTTTTGTGTTCACGAATGCACTTAGAGAATTGGCAATGGCATTGGGAGCCATGAGTCAGGGGTCCTGAGGGTACAGGAAAGGCCCCATGACCCAGGGCTCAGGACTGGCACTACACACCCAGGAACGTCAAGATCAAAGGGTGAAGTCAGGTCTGAGTTTAAGGCCTTCCTCTAGTCCCAGGTGTGGTACTAAGAAGGTGAACTTGGAAGCGAATCATGAAGAGAACTAGAGCCACCAGCCTGTTTCTTGGATATTTGGGGGGCTCCCGTTAGGGATGACCAAGGATAGCTGTGACCACGCTTAGGTGATGAGCTCAGATCCTAGTCCTGAAGCAAACCACAGAGAGAAGGTGAACTGAGAGTCCAGACAAGGCAGAGGCAATACGTTTTCTTCATGAGCACACAGGAGGAGTATATTTTCCAGCCCGTCCTGCCCCAATCTCCTTGCAGCACAGTGGGCCCGTGGAAAATTCTGGACAATGGAGAGAGGGCAGAAGTGATGTTTGCCACTTGAAGGTCTGGCCCTTGAGACCCCTTGGACCCTCCTCTCCCTCTTTCTGTCTGCTGTCACAAGTGGATGACAGAGGGGCAAGGACAGACTCTGAGGACCCAGAAGACAGGGGAGACACGGGATGGAAGAAACCTGGTTCCGAACTGCCCCTGGCCTTTGAATTCTTGTAGTTAACATTGCTTTCTGATAGTCACCCAATTAACTCCCATCTTGTGGATTTTTCTCCCTTCTTTTCCCTTTCTGTATACTGATGCTGTGATTCGTCAAGCCCCGTCATTTTCCACCACATATTCACATGTACTGTAAGTGGATTTTTCTAGGTAGCTGCCCATGTGTATATTTATATGTAGGGATTCAGATTTTTGTGGCTGTCTTGGCATTTGTCTACACTGTATGCCAACCCACTGTATGCCTTTCCAACTCCAAACAAAAATCCGAAGTCCCATGCCACTGGGGCCCCTTCTATCCCATCCAACCTCATCCAGCCTCATCTCCTGCCACTCTCCTGTTTGACTTCAGCCACAGTGCTTTCCCGTTTCTCGAAAATGCTAAGCATACTCTGACCTCAGGACTTTTGCTTTAACTGTCTCTCAGCTGCAAGCAGTCTTCCTCCAGACACCTGCTTTCTCCCTTCATCCCTTCATTCAGCCTCTTGTGCCAATGTGGCCTCATCAATCACACCTTTCCGGGTAGCTGTGTAAGACAGCACACCTCCTGCCCCACACCACTGACTCTTCTGTATTTTGCTACATAGCGACACCTTGCCTATTTTCCCCCTTTGGGATGTAAGCAAGGACTTCGCTTTATTTATTGCTGTATCTCCAGTAGCTAGAGTTTGTCATACAGCAGTATGTCATCATATAGGACAATGAACAGTTCCTGAATGAATGACACATTAAAGCAGACTACCAGAGCAAGAGCAGATCAAAGGTGAATATGGGAGGGCAGATTCCGATTAATCTTCCTAAGCAAGCAGCATAACCCAGGACTTACAGATTTCTCTATGTAATATGCTACACACACATATACGGAGAGAGAGAGAGAGTGAGAGAAAGTGAGAGAGAAATCACATCAGTCAACTAATTTTTAAAAGTTACTCTAATGCCGAGTACAGTGACTCACACCTGTAATCCCGGCACTTTGGGAGGCTGAGGCAGGTGGATCACAAGCTCAGGAGTTCAAGACCAGCCTGGCCTGGTGAAACCCTATCTCTACTAAAAATACAAAAATTAGCCAGATGTGGTGGCATGTGCCTGTAATCCCAGCTACTCAGGAGGCTGAGGCAGAGAATTGCTTAAACCAGAGAGGCAGAGGTTGCAGTGAGCCAAGATGGTGCCACTGCACTTTAGCCTCGGGGACAGAGGGAGACTCTCTGTCTGAAAATACATATATATAATTAAATAAATAAAGTAAAAAGTTTCTCTAAATGTGCTGTGTTGGTCTCGAATTACAATCTTTAGATTACACTACTATTTTATTTCAAACAAGACTGGTAGAAACTTCTCCACTCCTTTTCAACGAAAGACCTTAAATCCCATAAAAATGAACACCTTGTTCTTTCACCAAGTACCCACCTTAGAAAGTTACACAGCGAACGCCATCTGAATTAGATTAATTTAAAAGTAACTGGATCAATCCCCCTTACCCCAAGCATCTAGATGGAACACTTCTCTTTTCTTTGGGATGCAGAGTCACTTGGCGATGAAGCCAGGTTCGCAGTGCATTTGATAACTTAATGCAACTTTTTACTAGCACTTAAAACTCAGATATGAAATCTATACTTGATCTTTTCTGCTTGGAATTGGCCAGATTAGTGGCTCTGGCCCCACATGCAACAAAAGGCTCTCAGAAACACTCAGGGTCGCTAACCAATCGGGAGGACCAACAGAGCTGGACAAACAGACAGGAGGGTGGAAGGGCGCCGCCTCCCACCCCACCCACTTAGCCTTTCAACTCTGCCTGCTTGGAGGATGTGTAGGATGATCAAGGTAGGCAGGACACTTACTTACCTTAACTTCAAGGTAGAAATTAAGGCTTGAGGGCATTTATTTGGTGCCTTATTCAGTTAATTGGAAGATTAAATGGTAATTTCACTGCTCTTAATAATTAAACCCTTTTTTTCACTTCAGGGATGATAATGACATTTGGAGTGTAGTACTATAAACCTTGAAAATCTATTTCGAAGATGATTGGATTTAGGAGCAGGACAGGTTTGCTGTACACACTTGACGGAACATGCTTTGTTCCCCAAAGCAGCAAAAAGAGCCAGAGCCTGGAAGTTTCTAAAACTTGAAGCAGATGTAAATGGCAAATCAAAAAAATCATACCTAGAGAATAGTTCGGGTGACCGGCTATATCTCTTACAGCCTCGCCATTGGCTCGGTGGAGGATTTCGGAGAGGTCACTCAGTTTCCCCTTCTTTGGTTTCACCTTAGGATAAGGGGAAGTCTCAGCATTTCTTCCTTTGCATTTCACAGAAACACAGGAGGCTGGATTGACAGTCAGCAAATGTAAAGAAATACAGTGCCCACACGGTAATTATGCCGGCCTGGCCTCAAGCTTCATATTCATTCTTAATTGATTCCCTGGCACACTCGCCAGGAACCTGGCTAGTTTCAACGAATGGCCCTAGGGGCCCGCGCTTTCTTAATTCTCCTGTGGACCTTTATTCACTCCCCTGCCTCCTTCCTTTGCTGACAGTGGTCCCTTCTGGCTACCCCAGTCTTCTTTTTTTTTTTTGAGATGGAGTCTCACTCTGTTGCCCAGGCTGGAGTGCAGTGATGTGATCTTGGCTTACTGCAACCTCCACCTCCTCGGTTCAAGCAATTCTCCTACTTCCGCCTCCCAACTAGCTGGGATTACAGGCATGTGTCACCATGCCTGGCTAATTTTTTTGTATTTTAGTAGAGATGGGGTTTTACCAGGTTGGCCAGGCTGATCTCCAACTCCTGACCTCAAGTGATCCACCCACCTCAGCATCCCAAAGTGCTGGGATTACAGGCATAAGCCAGCAATCCTGGCCTCCGTCTTACGCTTACCATTCTTAATCGGTTGCCCCATTTTATAGCCACAGCTCGGATGAGCTGAGGGATTACATCGTCTGTCTCTGAGCACCTAAGACTTCTAATGTCTTCACCACCCTCCAGGAATCCTTTTTACGAGCTCTTGGTTGCTGGTTATCTCCCATATGCTTACGTTAAAAATCTGACCTCCAGTTCGCTGGTGCATCTACAATCAATCCTCACTACCCGCAGATTCTGTATCTGCAAATTCACCTATTTGTTAACATTTATTTATAACCCCCAAATCAATACTTGTGGGGCTTTCCTGGCTGTGCACTAGATGGTGAAGAAGTTGAATGGCTGATATATGGTCCCAGCAAAGACTCAGCGAGGCAGCCTCTACCTTTTGGTTTCAGCTCTTAAACCATAAATGAATGTCCTTTTCATGGTCTTTTGGTTGTTTTTTTTCTTTTTTTCTTTTTTGAGGCAGAGTCCCACTCTGTCATCCAGGCTGGAGTGCGGTGGCACGACTGCAACCTCCGCTTCTCGAGTTCAAGTGATTCTCCTGCCTCAGCCTCCCTAGTAGCTGGGACTAAAGGCATGTGCCACCACCTCCAGCTAATTTTTGTTTTTTAGTAAAGATGGAGTTTCGCCATGTTGGCCAGGCTGGTCTCAAATGCCTGACCTCAAGTGATCCATCCACCTCGGCCTCCCGAAGTGCTGGGATTACAGGTGTGAGCCACCGCCCCAGGCCAGGGTTCTCTTAAATGTAATGGAAAGAGGAGAATTGGAATGGCGGAGAGAGAGAACTAGGACCCTGCGTGAATGAATCAAGTTGTGTTGGAGAGAAACTGTATTTATAGAGAAGTGAAGGCTCTGTGTTTGGAGGCCAAGCAGGGTGGGGGTGAGCAAAGCCGTGGGAAGGAAAGCAAGGCCTCAAAAAACAGCTGCTCCTTCTTGATAGACACAGAGGAAACAGGAAAGACCGGGAGCCATGCGGTGTTATTTCTAGCACTTGAATAGCTTGGCTCTTAGAGTCTCAAGGCCTCCAGCTAGTGATCCGCAGATGCCATTACAGGGCAGAAGCATTTGCTGTCCCCGCATTCATCACTGAGAGACTCTGTGTGGCCTGGCCTCAAAGACAAGTTAGTCAATTGCTTATCATACGTCACAAGATGAATGCTGGGAGAGAGGAAACGCAGGGTGTGTAGGGAGAGGGCAAAAACGGCATGCATTTGACCCACCCGAGAGGTGATGGAGGCTTCCTGGTGAAAGGTGATGCCAGGAGGGAACCAGGAGGAAATGACCCTCAAGTAGCAGGGACAGGTGTGCAAAGGCTCAGCAGGAGCTTCTCCAGGATCAGCAGGGCTTGATTGCAGGGTGCAAGGTTGTCACTGAGGCTGGAGAAATAAGCAGTGCCTTGCTAAGAAGTCCAAATGTTCACCTAAAGGTACATGGGAGCTACTGCAGGCTATGAGCAGGGGGATGATGCCGTTGGTTGGCAGTGCAGAGAAACCCTGGGGTGACCTGCATCTGATGGACTGAAGAGACCCTTGAAGAAATCAGGGGACAGACAGTCCTCCGGGGGAGACATGAGGAGGGTGCCCACTGAGAGCACAGCAGTGGGGAAGGGTGTGAGACGGATGGGAATCAGGACGAATTCACGGGTGTTTGGCCTGTGCAGACACACAGGGCCCCACGCTGAGAGGGGCCCCGAGCCTGGCTTACTGCTCTGCTATTACTGTCTTAAGATTCCTCCTCATTTTATGTTTGAATCTATGTTTTGTTTTGTTTTGTTTTGTTTTGAAAAAGAGTCTTGCTCTGTTGCCCAAGCTGGAGTGCAATGGCATCATCTTGGCTCACTGCAACCTCCACCTCTGGGTTCAAGAGATTCTCCTGCCTCAGTCTCCCGAGTAGCTGGGACTATGGGCACCTGCCACCACACCCAGCTAATTTTTGTATTTTTAGTAGAGAGGGGGTTTCACCATATTGGCCAGGTTGGTCTTGAACTCCTGACTTCAAGTGATCTGCCCGCCTTGGCCTCCCAAAGTGCTGGGATTACAGGTGTGAGCCACTGCACACAGTCTGAATCTATGGTTTTTTGTTTTTTGAGGTTTTTTTGAGATGGAGTCTCACTCTGACACCAGGCTGGAGTGCAGTGGTGCAATATCAGTTCACTGCAACCTCCACCTCCTGAGTTCAAGCAACTCTCCTGCCTCAGCCTCCCGAACAGCTAGGACTACAGGCATGCACCATCATATTTGGCTCATCTTTTGTATTTTTTACAGAAATGAGGTTAATCTCTGTGTTGGTCAAGCTGGTCTTGAACTCCCAACCTCAGGTGATCCACCCGCCTCGGCCTCCCAAAGTGCTGGGATTACAGGCATGAGCCACCACACCCAGCCTGAATCTATGTTTTATAAATGAAATCCAATGGAGCAATAGAACACGTGCATGGGCAGATGAGACACCCACAATATAAGTTACCCCTGTCCCTTGCCACCAAACTCACCATGGCGCATCTGCCATGCCCTGCACATAGAATCTTGGTGGGTCTGCAGTGCACTGGAGCTCAGCAAGGCTCCAAGTGCACATAAGGAAAGCCTACTATGTCCACAACGGAGTCTGAGAGAGAGATGCTGATGGCGCCAAGAGGCCGCACTTTCTATTATAGAATCGGAATTGCAAAACCAAGGCAATGGCATTCTAAGAAACAGGAACAAACAAGGCACCCTCTCCCAGCCTTTTCTACTCATCTGATTCCCCGTAATAGCCAACCACTTCCACTGGAAGTAATGACATGGGAGAGACAAAGATAGCGGAGTCATAGTGATTTTTCCTTTCAGTTCTTCCTTACATATCAGTAAGCCAAAGGTAGAGAGCGGTAGTAGATTGGGTAGGTGTGAAAAAGTGAAATAAAAAGAGCTGAGTTGCCCCGTGCGGTGGCTCCCACCTGTAATCCTAGCATTTTGGGAGGCTGAGGCAGGTGGATCACGAGGTCAGGAGTTTGAGAACAGCCTGGCCAACATGGCAAAACCCCATCTCTACTAAAAATACAAATATTAGCCGGGCATGGTGGCGGGTGCCTGTGTCCTAGCTACTCGGAGGCTGAGGCAGGAGAATCACTTGAACCCGGGAGGCAGGAGTTGCCGTGAGCTGAGATCTTGCCACTGCACTCCAGCCTGGGAGACAGAGCAAGACCCCATCGAGGGGGTAAAAAAAAAAAATCAGCTGAATTAGTTTCCCGCGATGTCTCACTGTTTCTGTGAGACAAAAAAAAAACCCACACGCAAAATACAAATTATGTCATTTCTGTGATTCCACATTTGAGTCAAATGTTCCTACTTAAATCTGGCATTGCACTCTATAAAGCGGAACAGTATAATCCATGCTAGTAATTTAAAATGTCAGTTTTTCTTTACTTAGAAGGACATTACATAACAAATAAAAGCATCATGATAAATTGAGACATAGAGACCACAGCAGAACGAACATGACTTATATGTTAGTACCTCAGCAATACTTTGCCTTGGATTTTTGAATAAGGGAGCCCATGATTTCATCTTGCACTGGGCCTTGCAAATTCTGCAGCTGGTCCTGACTCTGAAAACCAGGGTTTAGCCATAGAATAGGAGAGGTTGGTCGTCGGGACGTGGGGTATGGGAAGAGAGAGGAGTTAGGCATGGCTGCAGGGTTTTAAGCCGGTGGTGCCACTGGCTGGAAAATCTAAGAAATCCAGCATCGAAGGGCAGGCTTTGTGAATCTGTTGTGGATGGGCGGGGCCTGCAGGGCCCCTGGGACACCCTGCCTTGGAGGAGCGTGAGCAGCAAGTCATCAGCACAGAACGTGGCTGAGGCTTGGGAGGGGCTACTGAGGGAGGAACTCTGGGCAGGGATGCTGAGGAAGGCAGACACTTAGGAAATGGAACCACAGCCGGGAGCGGTGGCTCACACCTGTAATCCCAGCTACTCAGGAGGCTGAGGCAGGAGAATCTCTTGAAGCTGGGAGGCGGAGGTTGCCGTAAGCTGAGACTGAGCCACTGTGCTCCAGCCTGGGCAACAGAGCGAGAATCCATCTCAAAAATAAATAAAATAAAATATTAACAAAAAGTAAAACACAAAAAAGAGATGGGACAACAAAGAAGGCCTCGTAAAGGAGATGGAGAGGACAGGGACAGGAGGAAAGGGGAGAGCTAAGGTGACAGCCAGAAGCAGGCTTGAGAGGCTCCCTAGAGTAGCGTTTTATTATCTCAAGTGACCGTGAGCAAATTGCTGAACCTCTCTGTGCTGCAGATATCTTGGATACAATGAAGAGAAAATGAAGACAATAACAACAGCACTTATGGGCGGGGCGGGGTGGCTGTGGTGAAGATTAACTGAACAGTTTCTACAGGAAGTGCTCAGAACGATGCTCTACTAAATGCCTCAGGCTGCTATAACAAGGTACCACACGCTGGGTGGCTTAGAACTACAGAAATGCATCATCTCCCACCTGCAGGCCAGAAGGCTGAGATGAAGGCATTCTCAGGACCACGCTCCCTCTGAAGATGCTAGGGAAGGATCTCCCTCCCAGCTTCCGCCAGTTCCTTAGCTGTGGCAGCACAAGCCCAGTCTTCACATAGCCTTCCCCCTGTGTGCATCTGTGTCCAAAATTTCCCCGTGGTACATATATAATTTTATTTATTTATTTATTTTGAGACGGAGTCCTACTCTGTTGCCCAGACTGGAGTGCAGTGGTACAATCTCGGCTCACTGCAACCTCTGCCTCTCGGGTTCAAGCAATTCTCCTGTCTCAGTCTCCCAAGTTGCTGGGAATGCAGGTGCTCACCATCACACCTGACTAATTTTTTTTGTATTTTTAGTAGAGACAGAGTTTCCCCATGTTGGCCAGGCTTGTCTTGAACTCCTGACCTCAAGTGATCTACTCACCTCAGCCTCCCAAAGTGCCGGGATTATAGGCATGAGCTACTGTGCCTAGCCTATTTTATTTTATTTTAAAATACAGATGGGGGGGGGTCTTACTATGTTGGCCAGGTTGATCTTGAACTCTTGGCCCCAAGCAATCCTCCCGCCCCAGCCTCCCAAAGTACTAGGATTACAGGCATGAGCCACTGCACCTGGCCAATTTCCCCTTTCCATAAGGACACCAATATACTGGATAAAGCCCACCCTATCAACCTCATTTTAACTTGGCTACCTTTGTAAAGACTGTCTCCAAATACAGTTGCATTTTGAGTTACTGAGCGCCAGGACTCCAGGTCTTTTGGCACTGGGGGGTGGGGCATGCAATTCAGCCCATGACAGTGCCCTGCTCTGTGAAATGCTCACCTTTATGAATATCACCCTCCGTGAGTTGTTTTCTTCAAAGGTATGAGGAAGAGACCAGGAAGGGGCAACCTGAGGGTGGGGAACCTAAATTTGTTGTGGCCACAATCTCCACAACAACGAGATGTTTCTCACACAGCACTTCGCAGCCCAGGTGAAGGTAAACATAAGAAGGAGAGGGAGTGACACATCCTGATAATGCGCCAAAGACAACCACAGGCAGAAATACCGGTGGCAGCAAGGCAGACAGGGAGCACTGCTCATGGCTCTGCCCACCCCACTTTTGCTCAGGGACCACCAGGAGGCCTGAGGTCCCAAGTGGACAGAAATCACCACAACCACCTCTCGGCCCCGGTCAACATATGCACAAGAGGCAAACCAAGTTTTGATCATTTATTAAAACCAATAAGAGGTTTTAATCTGTGGGTAAAAAGGCCTTGTTTGTCCGCAGTTCAGGGGATGGCTTCGAACTGACAGGCACTGGTGCGCTTTGAAGGGGGAAGCATTACCTGGGAGCTGGAGATAAGCAGATTAACAACTGGAGTTAACAGAAGCCTCGTGGAGCCAGGCATCACCTTAACAGAAATTATTCCTGGAGCTAATGTGGAAGCCATCAATCCCAAGAGAAAAGACAGGGCTGGGTGTGGTGGCTCATGCCTGTAATCTCAACACTTTGGAGGCTGAGGTGGGACGATCACTTAAAGCCAGGAGTTCAAGACCAGCCTGGGCAACAAAGTGAGCCCTCATCTCTACAAAAAAACTAAAATAAATTAGCTGAGTGCAGTGGTGCATACCTGTAGTCCCAGCCACTCAGGAGGCTGAGGCAGGAGGATCACTTAAGCCGAGGAGGTCAAGGCTGCAGTGACCTATGATCTCATCACAGCACTCCAGCCTGGGCAAC